CGTGTGTGGTTACGAAACCCTTCTCTGTGAGGGCCTCGGCGATGGCTTGGTGTCTAAAGGCAGCCCACGGATGGCCACCTTTAGGTTGCGGTCCTTTGCGTGTGAGTACCAACTCAGCCCGCTCACCTCGAGGTTGGAGAGATAGTCCGTGATGGTGCGGCTCTCGAAGTCGTCCGCCGGCAAGAAGCGCACACCCGCGCCAAACGGGCGAGCGCTTGGTGGTCGGCCGAGCTTTTCGTGGAGGGCGCGCATGTGCGTCGGCCAGTCCGGCAGCTGCTCGACTACAATAGTGTTTAAATCTAAAGAAAATATAACTAGAAAAAATTCCACGCGGACCAGGCAGCAGACGGGACTCGAACCCGCACCCTTCGCAATCCGGGCGAATGCACTGACCAATTATGCTACCGCGGCCCTCACGGACCGCGTCGAAATTCCTTCTAGCTATTCTTAAGCTGCAAGGCAGCGCCATCTCTTCGCATTATAGGTAAACCCACAATGTCAAATGAATACTTTTACAAGTATTAAACATTTGAAAGAAGAAATAGCAATTATAGTTATAATTTTTATTATTTTTAAAGCATGTAACTGCTTGATGTTTAAATCTAAAGAAAATATAACTAGAAAAAATTCCACGCGGACCAGGCAGCAGACGGGACTCGAACCCTCACCCTTCGCAATCCGGGCGAATGCACTGACCAATTATGCTACCGCGGCCCTCACGGACCGCGTCGAAATTCCTTCTAGCTATTCTTAAGCTGCAAGGCAGCGCCATCTCTTTCGACGCGGTCCGTGAGGGCCGCGGTAGCATAATTGGTCAGTGCATTCGCCCGGATTGCGAAGGGTGCGGGTTCGAGTCCCGTCTGCTGCCTGGTCCGCGTGGAATTTTTTCTAGTTATATTTTCTTTAGATTTAAACATCAAGCAGTTACATGCTTTAAAAATAATAAAAATTATAACTATAATTGCTATTTCTTCGTTCAAATGTTTAATACTTGTAAAAGTATTCATTTGACATTGTGGGTTTACCTATAATGCGAAGAGATGGCGCTGCCTTGCAGCTTAAGAATAGCTAGAAGGAATTTCGACGCGGTCCGTGAGGGCCGCGGTAGCATAATTGGTCAGTGCATTCGCCCGGATTGCGAAGGGTGCGGGTTCGAGTCCCGTCTGCTGCCTGGTCCGCGTGGAATTTTTTCTAGTTATATTTTCTTTAGATTTAAACATCAAGCAGTTACATGCTTTAAAAATAATAAAAATTATAACTACAATAGTGTTGCCCAAATGCAAGAACAAGACGAGACTTAGCCAGTCTTGATCTTGGTCTTGGTCTTGCGCTCCCAGTCTTGGTCTTGGTCTTGGTCTTGCAGCAAGAGTCTTGCAAGTCTTGCAATTACCTATTAGACTATTGCTATTTATTAAAGTTTACTTTAGATCTTAGAAAAACATATTAGAATTGGAACATTATGAGCTTGAATTAACATAGCCATAGTAAAGATCAATCAGATTAATAAATGTCTGAAGATTTGATAAGAAATTCGAAAAATCAACTGCCACATGGTTATCAACTGAGCTATATGCCGTTTTATATTATTTTATTAGTTTTGTAGATTTTTTTACACGTTTCAAGTATATTTAAGTGGCTACAATATTTATCAAACGGGTGATATTTGACCACTTCTTTGGTATTTTTTCTTGTAAAAACTTAAGAAATATTTTGACTAAATGTACAATAATAGTACCTAAGTAATTAGTTTAAACCCATATACGTGTCGTACCGTTTCGCTCGCTCATATATTAAATAGTATTAGCGTGAGTGGGACGGCACGACACGAAATTAGAATTTTACATGAGTATACCTAGGCCCTGTGGCGCCAATCAAATAGTGTCAAATGTTGTGATTTCGGCGCGGCGGCAACGATTGTTGTATGTGATTTCAATAGAAGCCGCCGGCGCGTGTATCATCACCATGTACTTCCGAAAAGCGGCAAATTTCTTTGAGAAGTCAGTACAAAACCTTTGATGCCGCATTATCAAAGAACCGATGGTTAAAACAAAACTATGCATGCACTCTGTTTGATTTTAATGGTTATTTTTTTATTCGCTATGTATGTTTGGTATGGTATGTATGGTATTGGTCGTAATGCGCATAGATCCAGTTTTTTATATTCTTTGATACAGTTTTTTGCGTCTCATAGAATTCCTAAGCGTACCTATACACCGAACTGTTATACCTAACTACTCCGTGAAATAGCGCTAAGTCCTAGCTGCAAGACGCAAGAGTCTTGCCGGATAAGTCTTGTTCTTGCTCAAGTCTTGCACGGTCAGTCTTGGTCTTGGTCTTGCTAAAAATACGCGGTCTTGTTCTTGGTCTTGGTCTTGCAAAAATGCAAGAACAAGACCAAGACTGAATTTGGGCAACACTAGACCACAATCGGCGGGCTTCTACATGCCCGTTGGGACGTAGGAGCGCTGCCGGAGGCCGGTTGCGCGGCTGGCACGGTGGTGGGTGGTGCGGCGGTGGGGGGATTATTCTCGGCTGCGATGTGGGTAGGCGCGAAAATTTTCGCGGCCTGTGCGTAGCTCGGCGACTGCGTCGGTAAAGCAGTCGGTAACTCGGTCGGTGGTTGTTCGTGGGTGGCGGGGGCGGTCTCTTGCTTGGGCTGGCGTTCCTCCTTCTTAGGAGTCTTCGCCGGTGCTGGTAAGGGGGTAAGAAGCGTTACCGGGGAGTCGCCACAGCTGCGGGAGCGGCTAGGGCGCCTTCCGCGCGGGCGTCTGGCGCGGGGTTGCGCCTCCTCCGGTTTCGGCGACCTCCTGTTGCGGATGGGCTTCAGCACGAGGGATCGTGGCGGCGGAAAAGTGAGCGGCAGCTTGATGCCCTCATTGTTCGCGTCGACTGTGCGCTTGTCTCCAAGGCCATAGTTGGTAATACTCCACTCGTCCCACTCCATGAGGCGGATATAGCACGCAATCCAGCCCGCTAAGCTCTCGGATAATAATCCGGAGTCAATGAGTCGGGCGGCCATCGCTGCGTCCAATTCCTATTGGGCGCGCGGCGATTTCCACCCGTACGTCAAACAGTAGCGGGCACAGCTGCGCGCTGTCTCCTCCTCGGTTTGGGTGGGAGGGGGCTGGTCGTCTTCGTCCATAATGCGGCGGGTGGGGCTTACGTCTGCGCGATCTTGGCCGAGCGGCGCCGTGCGGCGCGCTCAGGCCTGCAGCAGGGGGGTGTGGTATCCACGCTGGCGCGGAGGCGCCAGGCAGTGCACACGGAGAAGAAAAGCACAGCTTTTCGACGGAGCACTTAGGTGTTTGCAGATCCGTGCGCAGTGACGTAGATTACAGTCCTCCTTCGCTCGCTGTGCGACTCTGAGCCTTTTTATGAGGCCCATAGTCAACGACCATGTTTCAGCTTTATTTCAGCTTTGGTGTCGATTCTGACATGTTTCCCAAAACTTAAACTAAATTTAACATGTCTCTTCTTTTAATTCTGTATAGATAATGACAAGGATACATTATGTCAATTTTTTTAGGTTGAGGAAATCATACCAGAATCGACACCACTGGCAACACGCATTGTTGTCTTCAGGCACAGAGGTATTTTGGACGAGAAAACATGACGAAATTTCCCGAACGCTACCCAGAGACGAGTTAGATTCAGCAGTTTACCTCTGTCTCGAACGAAAGTGGAGTTATCCACCCAATTTGTCAACAATTTTGAGTGCAGACTTCTTAACTATTTCCGTGTGGGTCGAACATAATTTTTTTATTCATTTCAAGACCCCTGTTTAGGTGCTCTGCTGATATCGTTGAACATTGTGTTGAGATCCGCCAAAATGTCTGCGATGACGACTACAATAGCGGAAATCTAAGGTGAGTGAGTATATCACTCATTATCAAGATACTCTTAAACACATATATCGCCGTTGAAGTTCATACAAAGTCCGGCCCTGTCCAGAAGCTTCAGCAGGCCCAGTTGTAGGGTCCACCACTCCGTCGTTGCCCCATGGCCTTCACGCCTCTAAATCCAGCCCTGCGATATACTGATAATCGCTGATTATATACTTATGCAAATTATACATGTTATTTAGTACTAGCTGTGCCCCGCGGTGTTACCCGCGGTTTATTAAGGATATTTTCCCGCAGTAAAACGTAGCCTATGTGTTAATCCAGGATGTCAGCTAAATCTTTACCAAATTTTAATAAACTCGCTCCAACCGTTTAGACGTGAAGAAGTAACAAACATACACACTCACAAACTTTCTCCTTTATAATATTAGTGTGATTCATAATATCTGACGACCTGTGATCTAGCGGCAGTGTTCGTGATTTCTTTTTAATTATGCGCGTTTTCACAATTCCCAGGAGGGTTTGTTATTTATGCGATGAGCACAAATATTGTTCTTTTTTCATATCAAAACGGTGATAAACAAGCATAGGACCCGTCCAATGGTATGCGGGCGCTATAGCTGATATACGCTTTATTACGATACCAAAAATATATTGCGCTGTTACGTACCCCGATTCCGTTACCTACCCCGTGGATCTCTGGAATCTTGCTTACGGAAAATGGACAACAACACCGAAAGATTTATTATTTCATTATCTTCTACAAGGTGGTTACATTGAGGAACACAATTCTTAAAAGTTCTTTGTTCCCCAGTTATTATTGTTTCTATGATTATATATGTAGCTTATACTTTATTTAGTTTCCCAAGGTCTGCTTAGCTGTGGACTTAAATGCCGCGAGTTGTTCAAGATTTATATTTATTTACTATCTAAACTTTGCTTTGGTCGGCATTAATATAATCAGTGCGTTGGATTGCGAATGGATTTATTTATTAATAAATCGTATAAAGGTAGGTAGTGGAACATTAATATTTATTAAATTTTAACAACTGCAATAGGTAACCTTCGCCTTGGTTTGATAAATATAGAATATCCGTGTTGAATGGTCGAACATTGTAAATTAATTACGAAAAATAGTTAATTAAGTACCAAAAATACCTCGTTTTGATAGGGTTCAAGATCCCAGCAAATATCTTGGGCAAGCAATCCTGTAAGGCTTTCTTCAGAGTCCAATTTTGATTGAAATATAATCTCATTAGGGGGTTGTATTGTCTTTGTGAGTACACATACCACAGCTACATGAGCAGTCACCAATAGAACACTTAAGAATTTGCTAGACATAACGTATGTTTTAGTAAAGTTTTATTCAATTCAACTAAACAAAAACTATCAGCCTGTATGTAAAATGGCTAAAACTTCGGTCCAAAGCCAAAAATGTTTCATCACAAAATGGCCGGTGTTCTGAATTTTAAAAACGGTAATATTTTCCGCGCCGGGAAACTCGCGAAGCGAAGTTCGGTTGGTTGGTTGCGTACGCGGAGTGCGGAAGGTACTATGACCCGCGCGTGTGGCTTGCTCTTCCGTCCAAAACTGGGGCGCCGCAAGCGCCACCGAGCTTTAAGAGCGTTCCCATATTGTCCGATCCGATATCGCTATCCGCCCCGGTAAACGACTTCCGACGAAAGTTTGAGTGTCATAAGATGCAATAGGGTTATTTAGTTATAATTGCTTTTTAAACTCTCGAGCAAATTAAACCATTAAAATGCCCCATAAAAGTTTACATGTTGTTTATTTGAATCTGTTTTCCTTTACCTCAATTCAACCAAGGCAAAATTTACTTAGAGAAGAAAATAAAATCTGTAGTCAATCTACCATTTATTAAGATTGCTTCCATTTTATTAAGTTGATTTGTAAACCAACATTTTATTTATTTGGTTTAATATTACAATTTAGCTGTTAGTATTTTATTCAATACTAGATTCTCTATTTATATTCCTCAGGGAATAAATTCCCAGAAAGAAATATGTTAGTAAACTTTCTTGTATTTATTTCACATGCAGATTTAATGCATGTACTCCTTGCTTTACCTGAAAGAAAAGAGAGGTACGTTATATTGGACTTTCCCACTATATTCCACTTAAATTGGATCGCCCTTTTCGGGAAGTAACCATTTTGCAGCAGTGCGATTCATTGATACCACACTCATGACGATAACTCGAATATTCAGGGTTCTTAAATGTGTAGGTTTAGCGAAATTTACATGATGCGTTTGGCACTTCGGGCTAAATATGTTGTTACTCTTCTGTGATACAATCTAGTCAAAAATCTAGTGATATAATCATTTTTTTAATACGGCTTTGGTTTAACAAATCCTAATAATAATAACTATATCGCTCATTTCTCATTTCTGTTTAGTTATATTTTGAAGCAGCTTTGAAGAACATATCTTTTAGATTGTTTCTTTAACGTTCCGAAACTCCATGTGGCTGAAGAAATTGTTTCAGGCGACTGTTGACCGGGTGGTTGAAGAGGCCCAATTTCTACCGCATCTACGATACGATTTTTTTTTCTACGGGTAATTAATAATTGACATTAAAATTCGTTAAGGAGACCTATGTTCAGCAACGGACGTCCATCGGCTGATAATGATGAACTAATAATTTGTTTGCTGTTCATAAAAAACGGACATGTGCAAGTCGGACTCTTCCACCGAGGTTTCCCTACAATTTTGTTGGTACTCGTACGTAACATAAATGGCCGCTGTATCTTTTTGGAACGAAGTTCCTTTTCGGCTGGTATGGCGGATGGGATTAGGGTAAAAAAGTAAGATTTTTCCGTAACAACCTAGCGAGGCAGCTAGCTAGGCCGCTGGGTGGGTAGCTAGATAGCTGGGTGGGTAGCTAGATAGCTGGGTGGGTAGCTAGATGGGGCTGACGGCGGGTGGCTGTTTGGTTTAAAGTTTTGTTTAACAGTTTGACGCAACAGGGGATTGGGCCATGACTCACCACGCGGGCCCACTGTGGATTGATGAGTAGGATAAAGTTTATTGGATGAAATAGGGAGATTTGACCATGACCACCACGTGGCCTTAGCGCGGATTGGTGGGTAGGGTTTTTATTTATGAAATAGTCAATTCATCAATCAATTTTATTTAAACATTACATTGATCAATCTATGTTACTAAAAATGGGCACCTTATATATGTTAGTCAGCGTCACTCATATAAATACTTATTTAAATTAATTTATGAAATTACATATTAATTTAGTTCTTAATTGCTATATGCCACTGTACCTGAACTGGGATATGTGTATCAGGCTAATAAGGCTTAATTTTAAGATATAAAATATTCACTACTCACATAATTCACAGTATTAAAAGGTAAAAAAAACTACCCAAATTAAATAGAAAAAGAAAAAAAGTGCGATCGGCCGTGACCCACCACACAGCGCTTACGCAGATTGGTGGGTAGAATACTTTTGGAATAGGTATATTAGGCCCCTCGCGGAGTCTAACTAGAGCCCCCCTAAGAGCTACAGAGGCGGGCTCAAATGAATCGGAACAAAAAGCCTCATAAAACTTCCCCGAGGGAAACAGCGAACGACACGTTATCACGTAAAATTATCGTTCGTAAACCGACTTTACAGACAACTATTTTTTGATGGAATAGGGGGATTGGGCCATGTCTCGCCACGCGGGTCCAGTGCGGATAAGTGGGCCACCACGCGACCCCAGTGCGGCTTGGTTGGTAGAATGCTTTTTTTTATGGAATAGGGAGGTAGGGGTAATTTGCTACGCCTATGATAAAAAAATACTTATATTTTAAATACGGAAATTACTCGCTAATACTTGATTACAGACAGGCGATTGCCTCTTCTTGTTTCACGTCTAGATCGCTGAACCGACTTCTGTAGTTTTGGTACAAAGAATAAAGAGAACCTTTGGTAGGCATATAAGTTATTTTTATCGTAAACTTTGAGGGACTGGAATAGTTAATGAAAGTTTGTATGTCATATAATCAATATACAGATGAACAGTCTTTGAGCATTCGTAACTTACATACAGATAATAACAGAAAAAAGTCAAACAACGTTTTTTTCGTGAGATTGTTTTTAATAATGATTTCGGAGTAGTTATTTATTATTTAATTCAAATCGAACTTTCATTCTGAACATGGTGACACTGCTCTGTAGCGTCAGGATAGTGGCTTAAAGAGAAAGGAGGGAAAAGAAAAGCAATGTTTTTGCCGTGTAAGTAGAGACCTGGGTTTTCTTAGAAATAAAATCAACAAAAAGAAAGTATTTTTATAAGAAAAAAATCCACGTCGTCCAGGCATCACGCAGGATTCGAACCTGCCCCTTGCGAAATTTTCTTTAGATTAATAAATCTAGTATTTAAATGCTTCATATAAAAACATAGCAAACTACTTAAAATTAATAATTCATGTAAAAAATAGGTTTCACATTGTAGGTTGTAGGACTACGATGCGAAGAGATGACGCTGCCTTGCAACCTAAGAATTACTAAAAGAAATTCGAAGACGTTCTAATCTGGAAGACGTTCTAATGTATGATGCCTGAACTGCGTGGAATGTTTTCTAGTAAAACAATTATTTATATTTATAAATATAGCAGTTAAATGTTTAAAATAAAAATATAATACATCAACTCAATCAGGTTCGTGGTACTCATAGACTTTATTAATAAATCATTCGGAAATGTGGGCCATCCCTGATTGAGCTCAATAGTAACATAAAGTAACATATATTGTTTTAAACTTTCATGGTCACTAACATTAAAATAATTTATGTTATTTACGGGATTGTTACCATATACTTACCTTGTTTTTGGTGAGTTTCCGATATTTCAGCATACTCCGTGATCATGGCGCTTGCAACAGTGCTGAAATATCGGAAACTCGCTAAAAACAAGGTACATGGTAACAATCCCGTAAATTATGATTATAAATTACTATAATATTAACAATAGCTAAGTAATATTCTCAAGTTTTTTGTTAGTTTTTATTTGTACCCGTCCAGCTGCGCCGATGCGTGTCCAAAATATTCCGCATCTATGTATGTAAGTACTTTACCATTGTTATATATTTGAATAAAAATCTGCAGAAAATAAATAATATGCAAAATCGCTTAATCATAGCTTTTAAGCTTCATTCGTATTAAAAGTTTTATGACTGGTTCAGCGGATTTTCCGGTTGAATTGGAGCGCCTATCAGCAGTGCTATTGAAGGACCAATTCACTTTCCCCCTCGAAATCCGCGAGTAAACTTTAAATTACATCGGCGAATTCCGCGGTGAAAAGTGAGTTTGTTCTCACAGAGTAGCAAAAATAAAGAAATGGGGGCAAAGTTGTCATTTAAGACCATTTTTGTTACTAATCTATTTCAAAATCGAAACTATTTAGTAAAGAATGTGAAATTTTGGTATATGATGCCCAATATGCTGTATTTAAACAACAAATACTGAAAACGTCGATTTGTACTTTGTAAGTTGTGACGAAAACAAATAAATGATTTTTCCTTTTGCGGTTTTATGTACGGAACCCTTCATGCGCGAGTCGACTCACACTTGGCTGGTTTTTATATTTGACAGGAATTTGAAAAAACAGGAAAAAAAATTTATTATCTTCCTATATCAATTTAGAAATGTTCGGCGAATATCAATATTCACTTATAATTAATTAATCGCCAGAAGGATCCATAAATTCTTATATAGGTATGTCTTATCAATGAAATTTGGTTTCCTTACAACTTTTTTTTGTGATGAATTTTTCTACGAATCGAACAAGCAAACAGTTCCCGGTAATTTTGAATTTCGTAACGATTAATATTTACCTCGACATATTGCTCAATTAATTCGTAACTATAGTATGAGTAATGGGATAGGTATGGGCTTGCTCGCTGCGTGAATATAAATTAGAACATTTTACAAAAGTTTTTTTTATTGCCTTCATAAGTATTACTTTTTGGACGTGTATAAGGTGTCTTTATTTTTTTTACATTCTTCTTGAGGTCTCGGACCCTTTAGAGGCTCCCTAGTTGTTTCTTGCGATCACGTGTTTTATCAAAATAAAAAAAACTTATTATCAACTTTTTTTATAACTTTTGCCCATTCTTCTTCTCAGCTAAAAGATGTCCTGAGAGAAGTGGTAGGAAAAAAAGTTGAAAGTTTTTAAGCCAATTTTAGTAAAGTAAGTATATTTACATTAATGTAGAAGGTTATATGAAACATTAAAGGAGATTGCTCAAATTGGCCCAAATGTACAAAAAATATTGACATATACGGTAATTATTGGCGTAATTTATACTTAATTTTACAGTCATTAGATTTTAACGGACACCTTTGTATAATATATTCATTTTAAAAAGGACTTTTAATTTTACCGGTTTGGAAAATATACGAATTATTTTTAATGGCTATGGGTGTAGTAACATTCAGCCAAAGACTGATCGAAGTTGTTTATAACATAAAAAAAACTATTTTGTAAAGATCGATAAAATAAAACATTTTTTTATTACACTGTGGTATTAATATCCACAACTATATTATCATTTTCACTACATGCAAATATGCTTACACAATT